GTAGGGGCTGGAGGTGGTTACAGAGATAGGGAGGGGTGTAGGGGCTGCAGGAGGTTACAGAGATAGAGAGGGGTGCAGGGGCTGGAGGAGGTTACAGAGATGGGGGGGTGTAGGGGCTGCAGGAGGTTACAGAGATAGGGAGGGGTGTAGGGACTGGAGGAGATTATAGATATAGGGAGGGGTGTAGGGGCTGGAGGAGGTTACAGAGATAGGGAGGGGTTTAGATGGGTAGGGAGGGGTCTTGAGGCTGTGGGAGGGAACAGAGATAGGGAGGGGGTGAAGCTGAGGAGGAAGTTTTTTTTATATTCATTAAAGGCTGCATTTATTTCCCATCCCTAATTGCCCAGAGGGTAGTTAAGAGTCAACCACATTGCTGGGGGTCTGGAGTCACATGTAGGCCAGACCAGGTAAGGACGGCAGTTACCTTCCCTAAAGGACATTAGTGACCAAGATGGGTAAATAATGGCGAGAATATTTGAATCAAGATATTTCCTGACTGGAACCAATGGCAGTCAATGAAAATGAGTCAGTGCGGATGACTGATTCTGAATTTAATCAAAGAGGTGGCTTTTAAAGAGAACCGTAAAGCTGCCAGCTGGGAGAATGCGGATCCCAGACAGCGAAAGACCTAGGTACCAATGATAGGGTCAGAAGCAGGGGTAATGGACAAGAGCTGACACCAGCATAGATATGATAGACTGAATGGCCTGCTGCACTGGGATTACTATTGAAACAGATATACCTCCAGACTCTCCCTTACATCACTAGTCCTTTCACAACCTTAAACATTTTCTCAAACTTTGGATGCCAGGAGAAGCAGAAGGCCATTCAGCCCTTCTAGCTGAATCTCTCAGAGTCAAGCTGTCTGACTGTTTAATACATTTCAATGAGTCCCTCTTGTCCTTGAAACACAGGGGAATACCGGCCCTTTTGACTCAATCACTGCTTGTAGGACAGGCCTCCCCACTCCCTGGAGTCAGTCGGTAAGTTTTGGTTGCATTCCCTCCAACACATGTATATCCTTCTCAGAGATGGAAACTAAATCATTCCTCAGTCCACACCAGGATATTACCCTGAATCCCACATGTTTTAATTTTCTTTACTCACTCCTCTGTTGAACCTTAGCAAAAACCTTCAGAAAATCCAAATGCACCACATCCACCTGCTTCCTCTCATTGACTCCGCTAGTAACATCTTCAAAATACTCTGGTTTGTTAAAGATGATTTCTGTTTCAGCAAGCTATGTTGACTCTGCCTAATCAGACAATTAGTTTCTAAATATAAATTATTTTGATGATAGTGTAAGGTAGGGGTGGAGGTTAGGTAGGCCTTAGGTTTAGGGTAAAAGTTCGGCACAACATTGTGGGCTGAAGGGCCTGTACTATGCTATACAGTTCTATGTTCTATGTTCTATATCCAGTGATCACACCTTTGAATAAATTTGAATAAGTTCCCTGTTACTGGTGTCAGGCTGACAGATCTGTTGTTCCCTGTTTTCTCTCACACTCTTTTCTGAAACTGTGGGGTTACATTTCAAACTTTCCAACCTACAGGAAACATTGCAGAATTAGTAGAATTCAGAAAGATGATCACCAGTCATAGGGTGAAGCTCACTGGGTCTTCGGGATTTGTCAACTTTCAGTCTAATTAATTTCTCCAGTACGACGGTTTTTACTGATATTAATTTAGTTCAGTTCCACATACTAACTAGTCAAAATTGGGTCTGAATTATTTCAGGGTGAATTCTGTGTCTTTTGTGAAGACTGACATAAAGTACTTTTTTAGCTTCTCTGTCATTTCTCTATTTCCTGTTATAAATCCACCCATTTCTTCCTGTAATGGGCCCTAATTTGTCTTTGCTAACCCTTTCCTTTTTTAAATTCCGGTAGAAATTTTTACAACCTGTTTTTATTTTTCCTGTTATTTTACATTGATTTGGATGCTCTATTTCTTTATAAACTTATTATTCCCTCTTTGATGAATTCTAAAATAATCCCAATCTTTAGGTTTACAACTGTTTTTGGCAATGCGGCAGCGGAAAGGAAAGTTGGACTCTCTTAAGTTATCTTTTTTTCTTATCTTATTCTAAGTTAATACAGGTACAGCAAAGGTACACACTTTACATTGTATTTTTACATTCAATACACATGACAATAAATGATTCAATTCAAAATGATTGAATTCAATATTTAACCTGCAACTGGATTAGGGTTCGGGTAACCCTAACCCAATTTCCTTTGTGATAATTTTGCCTTAAAGGGATGAACGCTTTTTGAAAAATGTAAATTTAATTCTTTAATTACTCACCATTGTACCTGGCATTAAAGCTTTAAATATATTTTTCCAATCCACCACATTCTCATACCTTGGTAATACCCTTGCTTAGATTTAAAACCCTAGTTTGAGATTGGATGACATCATTTTCTTTTAAATTGAATGGAAAAGTCTTCCATTCAATGCTCATTATTCCTTAAAGATTCTTGTACAGATAAAGTTATTAATGATCCCTTTCATATTGCATAATACAAGACCAAAAATATCTTGTGTCCTATTTGGTTCCTAAATGTGTTCCTCCAGAAAACTATCTCAAAAACTGTCTCAAACACATTCCAAGAATATTTCCTCCACAGTATTAGTGCTGATTAGATTTACCCGGTCTATATTGAAACCACCTGTGATGCTGTATTCTCCTTGCTAAATGTCCCTCTAATTTCCTGGTTAATACTGGGTTCTACATTATCAATGCTGTTTGGTGCTCTATAAACCAATGTTTGGTACCCACTTCACCCAAATATCCTTTCTTTCAAATGGAAATCCTCTCTCACTAGCACATAGTCCACCTCCTTTTCCTTTTTGACAATCCTTCCCAAATGATGAATATCCTTTCATATTCAGTTCCCTGTTTGGTCACCTTGTAGCCACATCTCTGTCATAGCAATCAAATCATTCTCTTATTTTTCTTAGGACCAAAAATCCATCAATCTTCTTGCGAATGCTGAATGCATTCAGAGTGCCTATAAATTGGGCCATTTAACACCATTTTATAATTTGACTGTGGTTATTCTAGGATTTGGTTATGCTGATCTCTACTTTTCATTTACAAGGGTGGCACAGTGGCTCAGTGGTTAGCACTGCTGCCTCACAACACCAGGGACCTGGGTTTGATTCCACCCTCGGCCGACTGTTTGTGTGGAGTTTTCACGTTCTCCCCGTGTCTGTGTGGGTTTCCTCTGGTTGCTCTGGTTTCCTTCCACAGTCCAAAGATGTGCAGGCTAGGTGGATTGGCCATGCTAAATTGTTCATGGGATGTATAGATTAGGTGGGTTATAGGGGGATGGGTCTGGGTGGGATGCCCTGAGGGTCGGTGTGGACTTGTTGGGCTGAAGGGCCTGTTTCCACACTGTAGGGATTCTATGATCTTCTATGAACTTTTCCAACCAGCTTCATTCATACCTATCTGGGCTCCCTCTCAGTTTCCTGTCATTGAGATGGTAGTTTGCGCAGTGGCATGCTCTTCCTGCAGGATGCGGGAGCTCAGGGGGACTTCTATCGTCACTGATGACTGCACTTGTGGGAAGTGCACTCAGCTGCAGCTCCTGGGAGACAGTGTTAGGGAGCGAGAGCTGGAGCTCGTTGTACTCAGGATCATCTGAGATGCTGAACGCATCAATAGATAAGAGTTTTAGTGAGGTGGTCACACCTAAGGTGCAGGCAGAGAGTAGCTGGGTGACCACCAGGAAAGGCAGAGGGAGTAGGCAGAGAGTGCAGGAATCCCCTGTGGCCATTCTCCTCAAAAACAAAGCCTTTAAAAGTTTGATAGCTAGTGTTCAAGGTCCATATGTTCCTGTGAGGGTGAAAGGCAATTTTGGCAGGAATAGGGAACCGTGGATGACATGAGATATTGAGGCTTTGACCAGGAAAAAGGAGGAGGGAAGACGGGGCAGGGTGACCATTCGGGGGAAAGCAGCAGGACCCAGGTCAGTGGCACTACAACTGGCGCTAGGGCACGGCAGGAAAGGGTAAAGGTAAACAGGACCTTAGTGATAAGAGACGCAATACTTAGTGGGGACAGATCGGAGGTTCTGTGGCCACAGACGGGAATCCAGGATAGTGCACTGCTTCCCGGGTGCCAGGTTCCAGGACATCTTGGAGCAGCTGCAGGATGTTCCCAAGGGCAGGGTAAGCTGCCAGAAGTCATTGTGCACGTTGACGCAAATGGCATAGGTAGTAATAGGGATGAGGTCCTGAGGAGTGATTCTACAGAGCTAGGAAAACAATATAAAAACCAGGGCCTTGACTGTGCTACTCTCTGGATTACTTCCAGTGCCATTTCCTAGTGAGGGTAAGAACAGGAGGATAAGGTAGATGAATGTGTGGCTAAAGAATTGGTGCAGGGGGCAGGGATTCAGATTCCTGGGTCATTGGGATCCTTTCTCGTGCAGAGGTGACCTGTTCAAGAGGGATAGGTTGCACGTGAACTGGAGGGGGATCGATATCCTGGCAGGCAGATTTGCTCGTGATGCAAGGGAGGGTTTAAACTAGATTGGCAAGGGGGTGGGATCCTCAACAGCAGGAAGGAGGCTGGAAGGAGATACAGTAATCAGAAACTCAAGTTGAAGAGACAGGTCAGGTTTGAATAGGACAGGGAGCAAGGAATGCCTGTTGGATTAAATTGCATCCATTTCATTTCAAGAGGGCTGACAGGTCAGGCTGATGAACTCAGGGCGTGGATAGGTACGTGGGGCTGGGATATTATAGCAGTTACAGAAACGTGGCTAAAGGACGGGACAGGACTGGCAGCTTAATGTGCCAGGGTACAGGTTCTTTAGGCAGGACAGAGGTGGAGGACAGAGGGGACAGGGAGTTGCATTTTTGATTAGGGGGAGTATCACAGCAGTAGTCAGAGATGAAATAATCCAGTGAGGATTTGTGGGTGAAGCTAAGAAATAAGAAGGGGTTGGTGACGTTACTGGGGTTGTACTATAGGCCCCCAAATAGTCAATGGGAATTAGAGGAACAAATATGCAGGGAGGTTACAGAGATATGCAAGAGAAATAGGGTTGTCACAGTGGGGGATTTTAATTTTCCTAACATAGACTGTGACTGCCATAGAGTTAAGGGCTTAGATGGGGTGCAATTTGTTAAATATGTTCAGGAACATTTCCTCAAGAAGTATATAGAGGGCCCTACTCGGGGAGGGGCAAAACCCAGCATACTCTTGGGGAAATAGGGCAGGACAGGTGACTGAGGTGACAGTGGGGGAGCATTTTGGGACCAGTGACCATAGTTCTATTAATTTTAAAATAGTTATGGAGAACGACAAAACTGGTACACAAGTTGAAGTTTTAAATTGGGGCAGGGCGAATTTTGGTGGAATTAGACAGGAGCTTGCAGGGATTGATTTGGAGTAGTTTGTTCGCAGACAAAGGGACCTCTGGCAAGTGGGAGGCCTTTAAAAGTTTGACAGCTAGGGTTCAAGGTCCATATGTTCCTGTGAGGGTGAAAGGCAAGCTTGGAAGGAGTAGGGAACCGTGGATGACAAGAGATATTGAGGCTTTGACCAGGCAAAAGGAGGAGGCATGGCTCAGGAACAAGCAGCTGGGATCAAGGGAATCCCTGGAGGTATTAGGGGATACAGGAGTTTACTGAAGAAGGAAATCAAGAGGGCAAAAAGGGGGCACGAGATAGCTTTGGCTGAGAAGATTGTGTCTCCTGTGATTGGCTGGGCCGCAAAGCACGGGATTAGCATTCCACACAGCCGAGCTGCCCTGCCATATCTCACATTTACCTTCAGGCTATCTACTGTTTCCAATGTGCACTGTCTTGACTCCTGTGTGTTGGAGGCTAGGACAATCAAGGGTGCAGAGATTAAGGAGACAGAGTTTCAAAACTAGTTCTCTTGCTGAGGCATTTTGACTGTTACAATTCATGTGGATTTTTCACTGACCATCTCTCGTACTTCTCTGTCCTCAGGAAGCTTACTCCATTGCCCGTCAGTTTAACCTGATCGCCCCATCCTGTGAGCAGGCTGAGTACCATTTCTTCAAGCGCGATAAGGTCGAGGCTCACCTTCCTGAGCTCTACCACAAGATCGGTGAGTATTCAAGACAGCTACCTCACTGCAGACTCACTACAGACATACTGTAAACACAGGGCAAACACAATAATTGAATCCCTGCAGTGTGGACATAGGTCATTCGGCTATTTGAACCTAGCCCTCGGAAGAGCATCCCACTAAGACCCATCCCCTACCCTATCCCTGTAACCCTGCATTTGGAGTCATAGAGTAATACAGCGTGAAAACAGGCCCTTCTGCCCAAACTGGCCCATGCTGACCATGGTGCCCACCCAGCTAGTTCCAATTACCTGCATTTGGTCCATATCCCTCTAAATCCTTCTTATCCATGTACCCATCTAAATGTTGTTTAAATGTTGCTATTGTACCTGCCCCAGTCACTCTCTGGAAGACCATTCCATATACGCATCACTCTCTGTGTGAAGAAGTTGCCCCTCAGGTCCTTCTTAAATCTATGCCCTCTCACCTTAAACCTATGCCCTCTAGTTTTCAATTCCCCATTCCTGGGAAAAAGACTATATGCATTCATCCTATCTATGCACCACATGATTTTATACACCTCAATAAGGTCACCCCTCATTCTCCTATGTTCCAAGGAA